TTACACAATTAATAATACAAATCTATGCTCAGATGAAACAAGATCTAATAAGTGTAAACAACACATTTTTTTCTTTTTGTTACCATTATCTTCACTTAACATGCATTTTGACTGATCTCCACATATGAAAGCCTTTTTAATTTTTTACCATCATTTACGTCTATTGCTACCCATATGAGTGCATTTTAATGGCTGTCTCCTAGTTCTCAAGATGCTTAATACATCTCCCCTTTCATTGTACTGCAGCTAAAATATGACCTGTCGCTGTTTAAGTAATGTAATTTAATGATTTCACATTTTTAGCCATGCAAAGCTTTCTTTCAGCATTGAAGCCTTTCACTAATGATCTGGGGAGATAGTTTGGTCTCATTTCTTTGAGAACTCCAGACTAAGAAACTCTGACTTGGAAATAAATTACTGGCATCCGCTTTAGGAACAGTACAATGCTCAGTGGAAATAAAACACACTAAGATTCAGTGCCGTGAGGCCAGAACTTCCAACTTGTTGATTTCTTTCAAGGTTCAAGTGTCATTCTAGCTCTGTATCGGTGGATGTATCATCTAAAACACTGCTGTGCCATTGCTATGTGATGTAATATATTCGGGGGAATCCTTAGGAGAGACTCCCCCATTGTCCTCCATAGTGCATGAGTAGCCAGCAGTGAGCTGACAGGTAACACTGGGGTAGTTTCTTCTCATTTCAAACATGCACTCCATACTAAAAGTATAGCTAAAATACCTTTTTAGCTAAAACTGCTTTGGCTGTCATGGAAAAGTGAACAAAAGGAGAGGACAGGTTTCAGCAACTCCTAAGGACTGGAATACAATCCCATTTACCAACGACTCCAGTGCGGGTTAAAAATTATATTAAGAACACAAGACAAAACAAACTCAGGCCCCCAAAAGGTCTCTTTCTGTTCAGATATGCAGAAATATTACATTGAGACATAAAAATCAGGTGGATTTACATATAGAATGTCTTTCAATGAATATCAGCTCCCAGGCATTACTGAATGCTCTGAGATTAAGCAACTACAAGTTCCTTGGAAAAACTCTTACAAGGATAGCTAAAATTAAAAAAGGAAAACACTCCCCCCCCCGAACCTAGAGAAACCTGACCTGGCAAATGGGATGCAGAGCCCAGAGAAAAGATTCCCAAAGGTGGAAAGCTGAATATTGATGAACACCAGACTGGATGCTAAGAGGAAAGCTGTAAGTGTTTTCTGTATTAAGTCAATGAGGACAGGCCAAGAAGGAGGGGATTAAAGGCAAAAGACAACACATTGTCTGAAGGTTGCCTGCCTCACACGACCTCACCATTGGTTTTGCTGGTTAGAAAAGCACGGCTGTGTTCCAAGTCTAAGATTTGGTGACAGGAAAAAAAGGTGTGGAAATCTTTTTTGGACAAAAGCTTTCCTGGACTGTTTTTAAGTGTTTAGCTTCAGTATATTTAGTGGATTACAGTAAAAAGTTTTCATTGTTGATTTTACTGTTTTCTTCAAAGAACCATTGGTGGAAAGCCAAAGTCCCATAGGTGAATCTGTGTCACGTTCAGCAATTTTTGTTTAAAGTAGATGTCTCTGTTTTGCCACCACACCTCTGGTATCTCAGTAAGTTGTATTATCTGCGTATGAATTTTGCTTAATAGAAACCAGGGTAAACATATTTTCCTAAGTTTCACAGCAGGAATTTCTACATTCGCATTCCTTCCAAGTGTTCACGCATGTTTTTTTTTGCTCAGGGAACAGACATGGTATAGCAATATGAATGGAAAATGACATAGTGTAATGAACAGAAAATAATCAAGTATGTACCAAGAAAAGCAGTTTGAAAGAGGCTTAGTCTAAACCTCTTTTCACTTACAACAACAGAATTCCTGTTGGCTTAGTGGTGGATCAGGACCATACAGCAACTGAACAATTTTACACAAATAGATTTGGAAAAAAGCTGAAATCTTACTTATAAGAAACTGACAACTGCAGAATAGGTAATTTCACTGAATAAGTTACACTGCGTGGGTAATTTCCATATCATTAATTGCTCCATTTTACCAGTGTCTTGAATTTTTAAAGAAACTCTTGTTTTCTCACTTTAAAGACTTAACAGATCTCCTCTATGATTCCTATCACTGAATGCTCTTTTGTTTCCACAAGCAAGGGGTTTCATTCCTTTACCCAGTCACCCTGAGGTCTCATACTTATCACCCTGAACTAGACCTGAAAGTCCCCAAGTAGAAAAACATTTAAACACAGATGTGGATTGCACAGATATGGTGGGATTCCTCCCTTGATCAGTGTTTAGTATGAATTCAAGTACATCAGAACTTTTTCTGAATTCATATATCCTTCTTTTGAGTTACCCAGCTGGGGGAGTTTGCGGTGAAGAGATTTAGAAGTTGACTGGTGAGAGAAGAAAAAGAAGACTGGAGAAGGCCCAGTTCACAGGAGCTGTGGACATCTATGCTTCACTGCACTGGAAATTCAGGGACAGGAGACATGACAACAGGAGTAGTAAAACAGGTTAGAAAACTGCATAAAAGCATGTTACCCGTTTGTCCAGTTTGACCATGCTACAGTGAGCTGTTAGAGAGATGGAAGTTGATGAATATGGTCTGATGTCACCCAATGGGCTGAATTACCAAAACTGTGTTGAAGCATGGTCTCCTAGGAGTATACTTATAGAAGTGCTGGATACAAAACAAAACACGCATTCTGTAATTATCTTTCAACTATCCACAACAAACAGGGACCAGAAGTCAACCAGGTTCAATTGAACTGAGGACACCACACAGCTAGAGATGTTCTCTAGAAACACAGCACTCTCAGCTGACTCCCACCTTCATTCACACATGCATTGCATAGTGGAAGCAACAGGAGCTTACAACTGTTATTCAGGGCTCCTAAGAGCTGTCTTGACCAAGTTACTTCATTTCCCTGTGTATCAGTTTCACTTCCAAACAATGAGGGCAGTGGCATTTGCTTAGAGGGTCCAGAGGGAAGGGTAGATAGGATGATAAAGAGCAACGCAACTGAGTGTGTTGGGTTCTGTTCCTTTCAGCTACTTTATGGAGAGCATGACTGCATCTATATAGAGGGAAGTGCACCTGATGCTCCAGCAAGTCCCTATTTGATCCCATACTTTCATCTACCAGTAAAGATTATGGAGGAAACCTTTTCATCCGGTAAGGTCATTGCTTGCAAAATTTATCTGGCAGCAGAGTTACACCTTTTAGCTAGCAATTAGACACCCATGGCTAAACCAAAGAGCAAAGGTTACCTGCCTTAATCCCTACCCTCCAGCTTCACAATACGGGGTGAATAAATGACGTAAGAACTGCACAAGCTTATGTTTATTTATAATACTACATACCCAGCAACTATAACCTGGAGCACTCCAGATTGGAAGGATACATTTTTATAATGCCTGTTTCTTCATTAAGATTTCATCACCCACCTACGCTAAAAAGCCACTTCCCCTTCACTTTGTTATATCTGCTTTTACCCGCTCCTGTTCCTGCATTACTTTTTTAATCTCCAGTTCCCTACTTTACATGCACTCTCAAATTTTAAACAAGCAAAATTTGTGCATTAGTGTGTCCTTTTCATCTAAGATTTATGAATGACAGGTTCTTCGGTGCAGCTTAATGGTATGAAAGAGACATTATTTTAAACATTAAAGTGAAAACCATTTACAACTATGATAAGAGAGGTCTGTTGACATTAAACTTTAAAACAAGCACAAGGTAAAGGCAAGTAGTTGCACCAACAGGTGAGAGTACTATGCATGCAGTTTGTAAGGGAGTTTGTTCAACACATGAGCTGTCTCTTCCTTTTCCCTGTTTCACAACCTGTAGGATTAGGTGCTTCAAACAATTCATCTGGTAATGAGCATCCACCAGGGCTTAAGAACTAAAAAATACATAGGGCACAGCACAGAGCTTTCATTCCATTCGAGGAAGACTTTTCCTACCATTTAAATCACAAGAAATAATAATAAATAAGGGCTAAAGCTTTATTTTGGTACTTCCTGCTCACACCTTGATCACCTTCACACTGGTCAAGCACTTCCTTACCATCCTCTTCCATTAAAGCTGTACTGTTCTACTGTAAGATACTAATACTTACCTTATTACACTCTGGTCAGTTTAGTAGCCATTGCTTTCTGAGAAGCAAGCAATGTAGTTCAGAGTAGCAAATAAATACATCCAATCAACATAGTCCAGAGTAGTAAATAAATACATCTATATTTTAACCTCGTATGTGTTTGGATTGAGTACTGTTTCTAACAATGCTAGCCACATTGAACAGCAGAGAATACTAGGGAAGAAGAGGGATCTTGCAGAACAGCTTTTCAGTCTGATTTTAGACCACAGGAAGAATGCAGAGATATCTTAGGGTAGAACTGTCGCAAACATGATATAGCTCAGACAATGGGGAGGGTACATACAGAGATGAAATTTTTGCTTGTGACTTTGGAGTCATATAACTCTCCCTCAACAGCTTGGATGCGGATGGCAGAATGCTATTGATAAAGCAAGAAAGAGAATACATATCCAGAGCACTGATGGCAGCTGAGAAAACACTGACTTCAAAATAAAAGGGTGGGGGGTTAAGTGATTTTCATGCAGTACTGTGGTTTTAGTTGCCCCTATTCATTTAGCTACCCTAATCAGCAGTGGTGAAACAGAGTACTTGTCTTCATGCTGTCATCTGAAATTTTAAAGTAAACTGTGAGTAGGGAACACTGATCACTGATGACAGAAAAGCCTAATGAATCATTCAAGCACTTTACTGATCCATGGAATCCAAGACCCAACCTCCAATCTTTGTTTATAAAAATGCAAACACCTCTCAAGTATTCAAAAACAATCCAAGTGTTAACTTCAAATACTCATCGAGAACAACATTTTATTGCAAAAAAGAGATTGCTTGGTTTAAAAGACAGGGATTCTGTGAAACGAACAGGCAAAATAACCTATTAGAAATGATAAACATGCCTTACCTTGTAGATTTTGCAATGGCAAAGTCATGATGCCTCCTGCTGCAGCTGCTGCTACCAGCCCTTGGATATTGGTGAGATTTGCAGTAGGCAGAGTTAGGACGAGCCCTTGTTGGCCCCCCAGCTGCCCAGCCATGTTGAAAGGAATAAGGATCGGCTGATTCAGGGCTGGAGTGCCTCCTGGCATCACCCCTGCTACTGCTGAGGCTAACTGTTGGGCTGTCAGGAGTGGCTGTAACAAAACACACATAGCAAGACTATTTTGTTGTGCATAGCTTGGTATTACACACCTATAACTCTTCTGGCTTGGGATCATTTGGTGTTCCATTACAGATGTACACTGCTTCCAGTATCTTCAGGCACCCACAGAAAGTTTTGACAAACCTGACAGGCTGAAACTGTAAACCTTACAGTCACATAGCATGGGAGCAATCCTAGTTGACTCTGGACTGGTAAATTCATTACACATGCACTGAAGATAATTTCTGAACACAAGAAGGCCTTACAAGTACCTAAATGCAAACATTTCCCAAATCTTCCCAACTGTATACTGATAGTAACAATTACCAGAAGCTATGTGGACCAAAGCTGTCCTGCGAAGTGGAAGAACATTGAGTATCCCTTTAGAGTATGGCTGAACTTGGATAAAATTGTGAAGTGATGAAGGAAATGTTTTAAGATGTTATATAGTGCCATACTATTATACCTATGTTTTGCTGTAAAGAAAATAAATAGCTGGCATAAAAGATAATGAAATGCCTTTTTTACTGCAGGAGCTGTGTGTGACAGGCAGAACTGTCAGAGCCAATAGGTTGCATTAAAATTGCACAAGCCTTTTAATATTATATTATGACATGTATTTAAAAACAACTTATATAGGAAATCAAAATAATTTAACCTCCTAAATAAGAAAAACTCTTTAGGTTTTATTTTTGAAAAAGATACAAAGAGCTGATCTCTCCAGACAAGTTTAAAACACTTTAAAAACATAGAAGATACATACATGCTCCCTTTTTGTAACACTAAATGAATCCAAACAGAAACACCTTTCCTACACTGCACAGATCAAAGATGACCAATTGCAGTTATTTGCTTTTCATCATATTGCAGGTCTCAATTAGTTGAAATGAAAGATACTGACCTGAGGCCCAACAGGGAATGCAGGATGGGACTGACTGGGTTGGTGCTGGTCTGCTGGGCTCGTGTCAGGCAGCACTGTGTTTCCTCTGGCCTCTGAAATCCAAAGAGCAGACTGACTTTAATATCAAGCCTGGGGACTGCCACATTACCTTCTACTCTGATGTCACATAACATCAAGCTGAAAATGATATGTTAAAGTGCTTTATCAATAACTCAAGCACTCAAATCACTTATCAGCTGCATAAATTATGCTAACATTCATTCAGACCAGCCAACTCATTCAAGGAGCTACAAAAATCTGACAGCAGTGAAACTGAAGCTATCATCAACCCAGCTAATGTGGGTTGCATTATACATCAATTTACATACAGTACATGAGCACTCCGCGCGTGTGGGAACTGCATTTTTTACGCTTAGGTGAGCATCAGCCATTCTAATTTCTGAAAGCAAAAATTATCTGGAAAAACAATCAAGTCACATCTACTTTGTATCTTAATAGAGTCTTGTCTTTTGTCAGTTACTGAGGCAGCAAAGGCTGTACGAAGTGCATTAAAAAGCCACTGTGAAAACTGAAACCAGGTATGCTTCCAAATGACAGCTTGTTTGCTAAACTGCATGTGGGGGGCGAACAAAATTCTGTGAAACCAAGGATTTCCAGCATTTACTGAGGTGATCAATATCCAACAATCGAACTGTATGCTGGACACTAACGACTTGCTAAGCACAGAACACAGTCCAGCCCTACCAGATTTTGCTGAAGTCTGCAATACGGATTTGGAAAGGAAAAAGAGAAAGGAAAAGGTCCTATTGGCTGTAAGAAAGCACCAAGATGCTTTCAAAACCACGTCCCAACCCTCCATTTCCTCTGGGTGAAGGACTCACATCGATTCACAATTTTTTTGGGCACAATCAGGCCCACATTTATCTTTGAAGCTGGAAGAATGACAGCAAGTATCAAAAGAAGCTGCAAGAGTACTGTGGTCTCTTGGAAAGAAAACCCTGGCAATGGCATCAGGTTTCCTGGTTGGTACGATAGCTCCTGTTTTGCTAGTGGTTTCTGGTGAGAGGCTGAAATTCTGTTTTAAGCAAACCTTAATGAGATGCTCTTTCCCAATGTTTATCCTATGAAAAGCAAGTGCAAGGTAATTCAGACCCAGTTTATTGGCACATTCTGGTGCGGTAAGGAAAAAGGATATGATTCTGTCATACTTATAAATTTTAAAGAGGGTATTATCAGCTCATTTAAAACAAATTCTTCTAGACATTCTCCAAGGGGACAGACTTATAAATAATGGAAATGTGGAAAAAAAACCCCACCAAAAAACCTTCAGCACATTAAGGTACAAATAAAATTGACTGCTACATATTATTCAATTGACTTCTACTCTACACCAAGGTGTCAATCATAACAGCATTTTAGAATAGGATTAAACAATAAATGTGCAGAGTTGTTATGCAGAAACCTGAAAATCTGATTAATTTGTAATATTTTTGTGTGCTCTGAAAAAGCCAGAAATGGACATTGCTTTGGGAATACTTACAAAGACTCCATTGAAATACTTGATTTGGAACTAATAAAAACATACAGACTTGCTGACATTTTATAAAGTGAATTCTATACAAATATGTTTGGCATTTTAATGACCACTGCCCTTTAATAATGATAAGCTGACCCACCGTAATTGGTGAGGACTCCAACAATTGCCTAATAATGTGCAAAAAGAGACCAGTCATTTAGTTTTTACTGTGCAATTTACTCATCTGAGTTACTTGAAAAGAAAGAAATGTAGCTAGATGTGTGAGAGTCAGTGAAAACTGTTTCTTTCAAACACATGACAACCCTTGCGCTGATGCCATCCCTAAGACCAAAGAGAGGTTTGCTTCAGTATGGGTTCCTCCTGCACAAAATACAGTGCTATGTTACTGAACACAATTTTACCTTTGGTAATTTCCACACATTGTTATGGGGCTTTTTAATCTCCTCTGTATGTGTCAAGTGATATTAGATCAAAGGCTCAATACCAATGAATACATCATTACTCCCTTAAGATCAAATCTTCTAAGTCAGTTTTATTTATGCAATTTTAAGGGCTGAAAATTTTGTTTTCGTGTGTGATTTAATTAATATTAAAGCAAGCTCTTGATAATCTGCCACATCATTAAATCGTCCTATGAACGCTTTGGGAGAAGAACAAAACTGGACTCAAATATTCACCGGAATTAGATTTAATTGCAATTACCACAGCTTGAGCTTTCAAGAAAATAAATAAGTTCTGAAGAAACAGGCCTTTAATATTTATTTTTGCATGGTGCAGCTATCCTAAGAACCACAGTTTTCTGTTATCTGTACCCTAAGGATTTTGCAGTGTTTCATCTCATAACCTGTATGTAGTACAAGGACCATAAAGCCAAAGTTAATTACGCTGCTTTCCTTTTGCATTGCACTAATTGGAATCACTTAGGATTACATTCCTTGCACACTCATCACAGACGATGCATCTTTTTATTTAAGTGCTTGAATCCTCTGCCTGCTGCTCCTAGCTCACTTCCCACATGATGCAGGCAAAACAGCACATGCTTTCACGTACATGAATATGGTCTTACACGGCACCCTGTATGAAATTATGCATGCCCATTCTCAGACTGAGATTCTCACCTTTCCTCTCATGCCCCTGCTAATCCACCTGCTATAACAGCTACTCAAGAGCCAAGATTTTCTTCAAAGCACACAGGAAAACCTGCCTGCTAGGCTGGTGGTAAGTACAGCAAAGCCAGGATTTCAGAGTGAAGTTCTGTTGCCTCACACACACTGACAGCATTTGTTCCTCGCTGTACACTATCTTTGGTGGGACACACAGGTCAAAGTCCCCAGGAAGGCAAAGCAGAGCCCAAAACACTGGTAGAATGCTACTTTTCCTCATAATGTTGACCATGTGGATTCTGGATTTCAGAGGATCTGAGGAGTCAGGAGAGCTGTGTCACAGCTACTATCTATGATTCACAGATTCATTGCTATAATTTGGAAAAATACCTTCAGTAAAACCATTCTCCTAACCTGGCAGTGCACAATCCCCTGTGTTGTTTTTCGACTCTGTTTTACCGCCTTTGTTTGGGAGTTCATTAGTTCCAGATGCTGGAATGACCTCTGCAGGTAAATTATTCCCCTGTCCACATTCCAGTCCTCACTAATAAAAATAGCCTGTCAAAATCTAGCCTAGATTTTCCACTTGTCCAGATGCAGGCTATTACCTCCTGTTAGCCTATCCTCTGATGCTGCTCAGCTTCCTATCACTGAGGGATACGGCAGCAAGGAACCAGGACTCAAAGCAGTCCGAATGGAGCTGAGAAGTGAGCATCAACACCTTCTCTGTTCTCAGATATGTTCTGGAGAGTTTCTGCTCTCCTCACAGCTCCAACTGTTGGTGCACAAGGGACAGGGAGAAGGCAGTAACAGGGCACCTACCCTAGAAAGAGAAGTAATTCTCCTTAACACCATTTGCATAGGCAGGGAGCTAAGACAGGCTGTCATAGCAGCGCTCAGTTGTAAGTCTATGAGTCTGCTCAGTGGTACCATATGAACATAGGAGTTTAGCATAGGAGTGCTATTGCCAAGGTACAGCCATGACTGTAGACAAGGCTTTAATATTTAATAAGCAGTATTCATCATACGTGATTCATCATAAATTAATTATAAATTATATAACACATACACACACCTCTCATCCCACCAAGGGGCTGGAAGGGCATGACACAATAAAAAATTGAAGTGCACTGTAAACATTGTAAAATAACCCTCTTGAAATAAAATACTATTTAAAATAAAGCCAAGTAAAAGAAAAAAAAAAGAAGGCAACCTTCTTCTCCCCTTATCAAAAAGAAAAAAACATCCCCCAAACCAAGCAAAAAACCTTGTTGAACAATACCTGGTTTAAAAAGAAGAAACCACAAGAGGAACATCAGATGGAAAAAAAAATCCACATCCCAAGGCCTCTGAGCCTCATATAAAATTACAACTGTAAACGCACTGGTTATAAACCGGCTTTCCACAGTTTACTTCCTTTTGTTTCTTACACATCTCCAGCAACACAACAGGTAATTCAGTTCTAAAGTCTTCATTTCCCAGTGTCCCACAAAGGAGGGAATGCTCTAATCCCCACTTTATAACTAACGAACAGAGGGACTCAGATCTGGATTCTTAAACCAGCACCATTTAGGCACCTAGATCTCTTCAGCTGTAGTTACACTGGGCTGCAGTTATACGTGGGTCAGAATACAGAACTGTGACTCCTTGCGTAGCTGCTCCAGGGCTACCAGCAGCTCTGTCAAGGTGAGCCTGCATGTGCTTCCCGGTACCCTGTGTTCAGATGCACCTCCCATCCTCATGGTCCTTGTCTCTCCTGGTGTCTGATGCTCACAGGGATCCTGTAGCTGACTGCAAGTGTGACCATACTGAAGAACAATGCAGAATATAGGATGGAGCGTGCTAAACATGTACATCCAGCTCTGCCCTGGACCTCCTGGATCATCTGCAGATGTGTGCGTGTGCCTGCTCAAAGGCATGATGCATAGTGCCATCTCCTCTCAAACTGTACACCAAAGCTCACTCAAAGCTCAAACCACAGCACAGGACGAGCCTCAGTTGATGCTCTAGACATAAATAAATTCCTCATTATCCTCAAAAATTAATTCAACACGTCTCACATTTGTATCAGAACCAGGGAAATGCTGGGCTACTACTCTTCAGTGCTTTGAAAAACAAGCAAGATCAAATTTAATAATACTAGATTTTCAGTAATCAAAAGAATACATAAATCTCTCTGAGATACCCATTTAAGCAAATATTTCAAATGAATCAACATTAATAAAAGAACACAGCATTTCAAGCAACTGTTCATATTAAAATCCTTAGATACAGCTCCACAATGTGACATTAAATTACTTGTATTTATCTCTCAGTAACTCTAACAATAAGAAATCAAGAGCAGACTTTTCTCTTACTCACTGAATCAACTCACATTAAAGATAGACCTCTAGGAATGAAATCATGAAAGTGAAAATACTGCCTGTGAGAAAAAAAAAGTCTTACATTTTTA